CAGAGAGACAAGAATGAAAAACAACAACTGGCAGGGAAGCGTTTCTAAAACAGCCCAGACAATGCTGTCTATAGAAAAACTATAACGATGTGATAGGTAAGTTAAAGGAATTTGCTGTTTTGGCAAGTTGTATGTTTTCTCGTTACTTTTTTTGTGTTTATGAAAATCAAATGTTAAATTGACTTTGTTAAATGAGTTTCTTTCGTTAATAATTATCCTCATTACCCGCCTATATGACTGAAATACTGTTGAAAAAGGCGTAAACTGAAACCAACAAACAAACAAACAAAAGAAATCAAAACATTTCCTTGCCGTCTATGACGACGTCATGGCAACGGATCAATACAGCCCCTTGATCATTGATCTGAGTCCACATACAACGCATTCTGATTATAAACTCAGGTCAAACATTTTACCTGGACAGTTACCGGTTGTTTACGAACTGGAATAATCACTGAACGTACGGATAAATAATAATAAATATAACTTAAATCATTGTGATGGACAAAATAGCTCGCCATATTGACTTTTTGCGCTATTTGGTCGTTGCGGTTCCCAGTCGAAGGAAGCAGCTTTTCGCTATCTTTCAAGGGAACAGATTAACGTTATATCGGAAATCTGCCTGAATCTGTTACACGGTACATGTATTATAGAAATCACGGACCAGGACTTTTGTGAACTGAATAGACATAAAAACACTTTCAGAAAACTGGCCGTTAAGTCAGTGGATAACAATAAAAAAACGAGAATTGATGTACAAAGACGCTACTGGCATAAGAACTCTTGTGTCCGTATTTCTGAAACAATTGGATAATGATTCTGAGAGTGATTAATCTGCTAGCGACGACTATCAATCACCACAGAAACTAGCAACATACGACAGAAATGCAGACGAGAGGGGAGAAGGGCTTTCGCAAACTGAAACTTATTCCAGCGTGTCGATATCAGCAGTTGATTCAGAAACAACAACAACAACAGCATCAGCATCAACATCAACAACAGACAATAAAAGACCCCCAGCCATCCAGTCGGCCGTCGGCGACAAGTCGCCAGGAAATAGAAGCTTTCTCGACTGTTTCGCCGACGGTGTCGGAGAAACAGCATGGAAATCAAATGAATAGCTTATTTAAAGCCAGCCCCACTTCCGGTACAAAACAAAATGGCGGACAATTTTCAAAGAGCGTTTCAGAAGAGGGCGAGCGGTCAATTACTAAACGACTCACAGGAATTATAACTCACTCTTTTCCTAAACTTTTGAGAAAAGAAGCTTTATCTTTGTTACTATTTCTACTTAAGTACGGAAAGGGTGTGTTTCACGTGCAAGAAGGGTGGGGCAGTTTTCTCATTAATTGACGAAAAATGGATTCCAGCATCATAGATTATATATTCTCTTCTCTGGCGAATGAGAGGACTCATCACCGGCCTGGGGCTTTTAATTACTTTCAGATCGCTATGGACCAAATAAATGTGCCCGCTCACTTAATGCCAAAGACAACTAGCAAAAGAACAGACTTGTCAGTGAAAAAGAAAAGTAGAAAATGGCTTCCTTATTGACGATTTTTAACAACATTTTTTTCTGTTGTTCATTTTGACTTTTTTTTTTGCTATGCTTTTCAATATGTCATTGCCGTAGTATTGCCTTAGTCATTTATTTGTAAATAAATTAGTAATTTTATCTCATTTGTTCTTCTTTTCATTTGTGATAATAAGATAAAAATCGCATAATAGCTACTATTCCACAGATTGTTGTTGTTGTTGTTGCTGTTGTAATTGCAACAGATATGGGCCTGAACTAAACTTTGTTGAGTTTTACACGCTCTCTAAGCTGCTATAACAACACAATTGCAGTATTCCTTAAATAATATTTAATATGAAAACAAGAGATTAAACATCAGTATTATATATAAGTGAGAAGCAGATTTCATGTCAATTGTTAAAGTATGACATCTTATGTATTAACTATTCTTTTCAACAAAGAGTAAACATATCAAAGAGTAAACATAATTATTATGATTACAATGCAAACATTGAATCACTTAGAGTTAAGTAAATATACGCGTTATGGGGATTATTTACAGTATTTTTCACTTTCTTTCTAGAAACGCAGTAAGGACAATTTTTTCATATTCTGACTTTTTTATGGGTATTTATTATGGTATGTAAGTACCGTGTGCAGTTTGAAAGCTATATTCTTTTTATTTTGAAATAATTTACTTTTTAATACATTTTCAAATTTTCATAAATATGTTTATTAATGACTAACATTTTCAAACGCACCAAGATAATAACATTTTCCTTCTTACATTATGTGATTTTCATAACTATGTTTTTAATGGAACGTGAATGTAATAGCATTTTATTTATATGAGCGTGTAGTTCAGAAATTAAAGACATATTTTTGCAAAGACAAAAAAACACAAGTAATAGTTTTTTTCTTCATAAAGACATATTTTTTTAAAGACAAAAAACACAAGTAATAGTTTTTTTTTCACAAAGTCATTTTTTCCAAAGACAAAAAACATAAGTTATATTTTTTTTCATAATATGGTTGAAGTACCGGGGAGGGGGATATGAGGTAGTATTGTTAAAAGCCGTAAGAGGCAATAATGACCGTCCAAGCAAACATGTTTTGGTAATATTGTTGAATGCCCTAAGAAGAAAAATAATGACCGTCCAAGCAAACATGTATTGAAAAGCGATAAGTGACAACGGCGGACGCCCAAGCCAAGCAAAGGAGATATACTCTCAACAGAGTTTAGAGTGGCTTGCCTTACCTTTGTTTGTTGTTAATCTCACTTCTTCTACTGATAAAATGAGTGACCTAAGGAAGCCATGTCTTTCATCGTTGTCGTAATTAATCCTCATTGAAAACAAGTAATGCTCGCACCTTTCACCCACCTTTCACTACAAACTGAGCAATATAGATGATTGAGTAAAATCACTTATTCCGATTACGGTAAAAACTAGAAAGTGATTGGTTAGGTAAGTTTTTAGAGAGTGAGCACGTGGTTTTTGAGTTTGTCCTTTTAGTACAGTCACTGTACCGGGGGTTGAATTTCACATTTTCAAAACGCAAGTTGTCGCCAAAGGATATATTTTTACTTTAAAAAAAACAAACAACAAATTTCAACAGGGATGCAGCAAATTTCATCATGGATGCAGACATCGTAAGACTGGATGGAAAAACCACACTGAGGTTTGTTTTGTGTTTTGCACATACATTTTTAATTCAACAAGTGTTATTCCTCTAGCTTTTAAAGCAGCATGCCTTCATATTCATGTAAATGTATATGGAATTTTAAAAACAAACAAAGAACTACATTTTTTAAAAGTAAGACGTTGTTATAAGAACATACAAAGTATTTAAACATTAATGACGTTAATGGCAAAAGAAATTATTAATATAGGAATAAATAGCCTTAACTCCGTTCGTCACGCAAATGCATGCATATAATTATAAAAATAGTATAATTGTACATGATACATTAGGTGTACTTCTCGTTAAGTCGCTGTACATTTTTTTTTTTTATTTTCTTTAAATCATTTGGTTCATCTGCAGGCATGTTGCTTTAAAGAGGTAATTTCAGCGCTATATCCATATATATATATCATTTTCTTCTTTGAAACGCATAAATGACTAACTTATTTTACGATCTTTTTATTTTTTTATATTTATTTATTTATTAATTGCCATGTCAAGTAAGTCGAATGTATAAACGACCAGATTCGTAGATGTTAATGAAAACTAAAAACAAAAGACATTGTTATATGAACATGCAAAGCAATTTACATATTAATGACGTTTTATTTCTCTGTTGTAAATGTATCAACTTCTCTTTAAATCATCGTACATTTTTTCACAAGATTCATTAATATTTAATCATTTGGTTCATCTGCAGGTATGTAGCTTTAAAGAGATATTTTCAGCGCTATATCCATATATATATAACCAGTTTATATATATATAATGATATGAGCCGCGTCACGAGAAAACCAACATAGTGCGTTTGCGACTAGCATGGATCCAGACCAGCCTGCGCATTCGCGCAGTCTGATCAGGATCCATACTGTTCGCTTACAAACCCAATAGCAAATAGAGAAACTGATAGCGAACAGCATGCTGGTCGCAAACCCATTACGTTGGTTTTGTCGTGACACTGCTCATATATATTTTTTTCTTTTCAACGCATAAATGACTAACTTATTTTACGATCTTTTTTTTTTTTTTTTTTTTTTTTTGTGTGTGTATTATCTATTTTATTTTGGTTTGTTTTTATTCATTTATTTTTTTCTGCGAGGTCACTTAAGTAAAATGTAATAACGACGACATTTCATCTTGATGACACAATAGTCAACATTATTGCCATCAATATCATCTTTGCTAGCAACGTATTTGTTTTATATCATATTGTTTGTTTCACTTAATGCTGTTTATCGTATTAGCTTTTTAGATTTTTATCACAGTCATCATTTTTCACAAATGTTTTGTACTAATCAAATTTTAATAATACTTTTCGTATCACTAAATTTTAATGAAGGCTATATTCATTGTAATTGCAGAATTGACAATGTTGAAGGCAGCATCGTAGGAACGATCAAAAACACAGAGACAGGTTCGGAGATCGTTCTGAGAAGACCCGGACTGATGGCGTTTTTTAAGTCTTTCGGAGATCGTTCTGAGAAGACCCGGACTGATGGCGTTTTTTAAGTCTTTCGACCTGGTCATAACCAAATTCGAAGAGATTGTCGCGACGAGCCACAGTCCCCCTGTTGAGATAATCACCGACTCGGACGACGAGGCCACCACCCCAAGAAGGCTTGGGCTAGGTCATTCTTTGAGGAGAATTCTCGAATATACTCCATCGTATAACAGCGACAATGATAACGATGAATCTGACGAGGGGATATTCTTTAGCCAAACGAAATACCAGTCTTGATCGGAAGATTCGATCCAGTACGAGGACGACTGTGAGATCCAGATGATTTTAAATGATGAGAGTATGGAGGTGATCGACCTGACAAATGACGACGACGACGACGAAATACAATCAGAATTCGAGGAGGAGGATGAGGAGGAAAAAGTGTCGAGTGTCGTTGAGCTATGGGAGACGGACTATGATAGTGATTGGTCCACCAGTGTAGACATGGAGGAGGAAACGGAGGAGGGGTGCATATTGAATGCGAACGGGCCAGTCAGTTCGGTCATCTGACTGCTGCACCTGCCAAGCAATTTGCTGCAGGAGATAGGATATAATTTAGACATGCAGAGCTTGGCTCGTTTCAAAAGAACATGCACAAAAATAAATGATGTTACGGAGATGGGCGTCTTTTGGAGACGAAATATTTGCCAAGACTTTAATGTTTCGTATGAAACCGACAATGTTATGATGTCTAAATGTGTATATAAACTTTTAAATGAGTGTTATGTGAACGAAACTTTTGTTATTTAATTATTAATTGAAATTGTACTTAACCTTTTGCATGTATATATTTAATATACCTTTTCTTGTTTATTAAAAAAATGATCTAAAACATGCGTTCTTCTATATATTCATATACAAATCCTGGGATATTTAAGTATACTTATAATTCTACTTGTAATTTCGATGATGATGAGGACAGTTATAACAACGATGGCACCCCCCCCCCCCAAAAAAAAAAAAACAACCCACACTGTCCGCCCCCATAGATTAGAAAAATATACATAAAATTGTTGGTTACAATTGTTGTCATTATCACCTTGATTACATTTGTTATCATTTTTTTTGTGGTTATTGTCGTTACAAAAGCAACTGTGTCAAATAGGAGGCAAATTTCATGGTGTTCATTAATATTTAGGTGTATTCTCTTCTTGCGAAAAGCTCAACAGAAACTCTTGTACTCTCACTTGTTATTTCTCACTTAGACTACTGCAACGTGATTCTGTATGATATTTCAAACTGTGATATTGCAAAACTACAGCGAATTCAAAACATGTGTGCCAAACTAGTATTGAATCGTAGGAAAAGTGACAGTTCTAAGCAGGCGCTATACGATCTACACTGGCTGCCCATCAAGGCCAGAATACAATTCAAGATTCTTGTATATATGTACAACTGTCACGTTGGAAATGCACCAACTTATTTGACCGACCTGCTTACACCTAAAGTTCAAAAACGTTCTCTGAGATCATCATCATTTTCAGTTGACAGTTATAAAGTGCCTTTTAATAAGTGTAAAACTTTCAGTGACAGAAGTTTCAGTACAATCGGCCCGAAACTCTGGAATGATCTTCCATTAAATATCAGACAATGCTCATCAGTTGATAGTTTCAAGAAACACTTGAAGACTCACTTCTTCAGAGACTATTTTAATCTTTTTAGTCAAAGTCAGTAAAGTGTAGAAACTAAGAGACAATATTTTTCTGCGCATTAACTCTGTGATGAATATCTGATTTTACAATGTATTTATTATCCAAGTAATTTGCATGTCTTTTACCATGTCCTTTAATAATATAGCCATATTTTTAATTATTTTAAATAATATTACTTTCTTTTATTTGTGATACCATGTTTTAGATTTTAGATTCAGAATTTATTGTTTTATTATTCTTAAACTACATTTATTTATTACTTTTAATGTTCTGATGTGATATTGTACAACGCCATTGAATATGTATTATATGTAGAAATAGGCGTTTAAGCAAATAAAACAGTTTCAGTTTCAGTTTGTTTACATACAAACAAGGTATAAAGAAGCACTTCGATAGCCAAAGAAACAATACAATACATAGTATTTCTGATGTGTTCATAATGTATGTTTTTCTAAAAAAAGATTCAAGATAAGCAAAAAATTGTTTTATGTTATCTTGATTATTTTGAAAGAGACAAAATACACCAAAAAGAACTAATAGCCATGGTTTAAGCCAAAAGTCTTCCATATTAATGTGCACGGTATAGAACAAAACAAAAGATAAAGTTTATATACAACAAACTTATTAAACGGGCGCTCACTTAAAGAATGTACGAAAGGCTATATATTTAAAGCATAAAAATTACAAAATCAACAGCAAAACTAATACGAATATATACAAATGTACATGCTTAGCAAAATAACGCAGGAAACAGCCTCTGATAAAATGTAATAATCAAACAAACAGAAAAACCTAACAGAGAGATTGAGAAAAATTAAACAAAAATCATTTGCTTTTTTTATCGTTCATCTGAAAGTGAGTCTAGACAAAATTTGTTTTATTTACTAGAAATAATGGCACTTTTTTTAAATATGTCTGTTTATGTTCATGGCATTTGTGGAAAATATCGTCAGTGGTCTCTACCACTGTACCTGGAAGCGAACAACTGGTCTCCGGGTCCGTTGACAGCGTCGAAGAAATGGTGCATTCTGAAAATGTTCAAGCCTTCTGGGTAGTCTGCGCACTTGTCTCTGTCGGGTCACCGTCTGTTGCTGTCTGTACACGAGCTTGAACATAAACATCATCAACGCCAACAGACCAGCCTCTGTAAAAAGAGGAAAAGTCCTTTTAAGATCCTATAGTTGTAAGGTCGGATATATTACAACAGATTCCATTGACACAGCGGGGCTTGTTCTCGGCTTACAGCAACAATAAGCTCGCCTTTGTCTATAACGAATGCACAGACATACAAATGCTACTCCAAGCGTTTAAATTAAACATATTTTATTATTACCAGAGCAGCAAACAACCACTTTAATGGATGGAGATATAGTTAGACTGAACAACAACACAAAATTAAGGTATGTAAAACTTAATATTTTCAGACTTGCTTATTTAACAGATGCCGTCTTGTACAGCATTTCAAAAAGAAATCTGTATTTTTAATCGACGCTGTAGAGCATTTACTCTGTTTCTTTTCCCCATCTTAATTCATTTATACTTTAAGTTATGTCGCTGTAGAATTTATGTTTCTTATGACTTAATTTCGTGTTTGTTGTTGTTGTTGTTTTTATTACTTTTACTTTATCAATTATTATTATTATTATTATCATTTCAGAATTGAAATGTCAATGGCAGTGTCATTGGCACTATAGCCAATACTGCTACAGGTGAAGGGATAGTGATAGACAGAGAGGGATTGACTGCATTGATGCAGTCTTTCGGATTGTTGCTCAGAAAGTGCGAAGAGGCAGCAAGACAAAGGGCCCACGAACCAGTGGTAGTTGAAGTGAGTGACGACGACGACGACGATGACACCACCCCTAGATTGCCGGGATTGAGGCATTTAAGAAGAGTCCTAAACCACTCCTCCTCTTCATCTTCTGAGGAAAGTGAAGATGATGATGATGATGATGAGGGGATATCCACCTACCAAGGAGACTCTGGCTCCGAAAATTCAATTCCTTACGAGGAAGAAAACGCCCAAGAGTGGTCCTGCGACTGTGAGACAGAGTCCGAGATGGACGCGTTAGATATGGAAAGTGAGTTTTTTCAAAATGGAGATCAGCCTGCTAACATGACTGAAAATTCAATTCCTTACGAGGAAGAAAACGCCCAAGAGTGGTCCTGCGACTGTGAGACAGAGTCCGAGATGGACGAGTTAGATATGGAAAGTGATTTTTTTCAAAATGGAGATCAGCCTGCTAACATGGCTGAAAATGAAATTATTGAGATTTCAGATACAGAGTGGGGAAGTGACTTTCCTGAAAATGTAATTATTGAGATTTCAGATATAGACTGGGAGTCAGACAGTCAGGACGATTCCAGCTGACTAGATAACATGCCGATGGAGATACAAAGTAGCCAGCAAATTAACTCTCCATGACCTGGCCAGTTTGAAAAGAACGTGCAAATCGATGAACGCTTTCACAGATTCAAGCGCGTTCTGGATGAACAATCTCCAAAAAGCCTTTAGCGCGAACTTTATCATAGATGACGCTAGTCAATGTTAAAATGTGTAAGAAATTCTAAAGGAATGCTATGTAAATGGAACATTTTCCATTTAATGTATATAGTTTATATCATATATAATATATATATATTTGGAGAAAATAAACGTTCATACAGTGCTAAAGTATAAATACCCTAGTACTTTCGGCGTATTATGCCTTCATCAGGGGTGTATTACATGTATAATGTGCACACAATCGTTATTTATCTTATTTCTTGCACAGTGTGTAACAAACAATATGTCGGTGAAACCAAACTTCCACTAAATAAACGAATGAACTTACACCGCTCTGACTGGAAAACGCGTAAATTTAACAGATCCCCAGTTGATGAACATTTTCACCTTGAGGGACACAGTTTCAAAGACGTGTCCCTCTGTTGTATTGAACATAACACAAAGTGGTCAGATATAACACGGAAATCGCGCGAGACATACTGGATTCGCCGACTGAATACGCTAGAGCCATCAGGAATCAATAAAGGAGACTAATTTACACACCTATTCTCGCCCATTCTTGACAAACTTTAAAACCTAACTTTAGTCATCAGGCGGTGTCGGGGAGGGCTATTTTCCCTTGCCTGAGAGCTTCGTTTTTACTTTCACCTTATCGTGAATTTCCACTTCATATAACATCATACTGTTTGTAACTTGCATTTTCTTACATTATACTTATAGTAATAAAAACACAAAACGCCCTTATATGTGAAGTTTTTTTTTTTTAGTTTATATATTTTTTTCTTTTTTACATTAAACCGAGTTTATGCCATATTGACCGCAGGGCATATTCTCTTTTGTAAAGTACTACACAATGACCATTCAATAACGGTCTATTCATAATCGATGTAATTTTATCACCTTTCTAGCGACTGTGTTTCAGTTCAATTTTTGATACTATAGAGTACACACGTATTGAGATTTTGTGCTCGATTGTGTGCACATTATACATGTAATACACCCCTGATGAAGGCATAATACGCCGAAAGTACTAGGGCATTTATACTTTAGCACTGTATGAACGTTTATTTTCTCCAAATTTATTGTTTTTTTTCTACGTTCTTGTATCCTTCTTTGGATCCAGTGTTTTTGAAAGTATTTTGTAGATGCAAATATTTGTCACAAACCTATATATATATATATATATATTATATATATATATATATATATATATATATATATATATATATATATATATATATATATATATATATATTTATTTATTATCCATTAATATTTTATGAATGCAAAACTCTTGCGCTTGAAACTGTTTAAATGGAATCGTGACACTTCTCCTCAAATATTTTCCCTTAGAAGAGTCGTCAAAAAATAAAAAAAAGCAACAACAACAACAAAAAGGTGTACGTTCTACTATAACTTTAATAACAGTATAATAATAAAATGCTATGTCATCAGAACATACTAAGAAAGAAAAACAAACAAAGAGCACTTCACAGTGTTTATAAACAAGGTTATATGAAAACGTAGATAAGCAG